AAAGGGAAGCAGGTAACTCTCATCAGGCCCAAATTTTACTTGAAGGTACTAAGTATACCAGATAGGGCTACACATTGTTTAGAATGTTTACTTCCAACGGGAAGAGATTAATAAAAATCACCCGTTCACTGAAGGTTGCGGATTATGTACAGGGGCAAATCACTCGCAAACAAAGATTAACGGGGACATAAATCAAATGAACGTAAAACGGAAGCCGTAGGCCATGGCATAACTAAATGACATGCAAACTATTTTTGTACGCACTGCTCCGGCTTGAGGTTACGGATATAAATAGCTTCCGCAAGAGATAGAAGATGCTTCCGGAATCCGCGCGGGAAACGCTCCAGAATAAAGGTAGATGACAATGAAGTCGTTTTCTGTTCCTACGTGACCACACTCTAAGAGGTACGACATGATGGAGATATTGCAAGTCCTCAGTTCGCCCCCATAAACCCGTTTCTGAATGTTAGCGAATTCTGTGAGATAGGCACCCCGTAGTACGACCAACGTATCGTGCACTACAGGAGTACGAGTACTGATACACAACCTTTGATCGAGTTAACGGAGGCAGTCTGTCTTTCAAAGGTTTCGCGAGCCATCATCATCAACAACAGTACATCAGCCATTTGGGCTGATACTTCGCTGTCATACAACCATAACGATCTACGGTACGAAAATTAATAAGCTGGAGAATGTGGAGTTATTTAAAACCTCGATGCTCCAAACAAACATTCAAGTCGTGGCACCTATAACTTGTTCACAACATACCGTCACAAACAGTTGACTATCATGCAATGATAAAATGGTCTGAGGTCTTAGCTTTTCGAATTCACATTTTGTGGTAACATTCGCTTTCACCATTTGTCGGAGCAAATCGGCCAATTGTTTTTCTAACTCCTCTGTATGATCCTTTTCTACTGTTAGCTTTTGAAACTTACGTTCATCATTAAGGATATGTTTCATCTTACGGAGGTAGTCAGTCCTATACATTAGAATTATGCCAGAACCTCTATCCGGCTTAGATAATTAACCATCATTCTCCAAGTGACTGCGATTGTTCACTTGTAAGAATACCACTACTGCCTAGTCTGCACTTTACGTAATCATGACGTTTACTAAACTGGATATCATGTTCTCAACGTCCCCTGGCGATTCTGCACTGTTAATCTCTCAGGCTGCACCTCTAATGCGATCTGGTCAACTTTTTGCAAGGAAATGAAAAACTTAGGGCTTTATGATCAAACGTGCTTGTGTTGGGCTAAGCATGACAATAGAAAAGTTAAACATGTACCGCTTCGGGTTTTTTCGGAAAGGTCAGTTGCGGTACTTGATTATTTGACGAGCTAAACAACTTCTCTGTGCACCCCTTTGCTTTTTAACTTGGTCTACTTATGCTACAAAAGGCCTTCGTAACTCTTCCGATAGGCCTATGGCGGCATGCATCCGTAGTGAAATGAATCTTTCACGATCCGAAAGCTTCTTGTGAACGTTATCCATCGCAATGAGGCTGGACCTTACCGTGGTGCGATGGTTTGTGTGCCTCAGAGATCCATTGAGCTATGTTGGGTGGTGCTTTTGCACCTTCAGAGCCACTCATACCAGATTGGTCAATGGTTAGAGGCCAGACAAACTCAGCCTCCTGGTCCTCCAGGTTGGGGGTTGGAATGGGGGTGGCTCATTTCATAAAACGGGCTCCTCAGTCCAGTGCGTTAAGGTTTTTGAACCAAAGGCTTTGGTTGAAAACCCTAATCGTTCTCCTGTCTAGGCCTGGGCAACCTGACAGTATTCTGCCCACGCAATACAATGAAACTTTCCTTCAACAATTTCTTGATGCTCTGGCCGTCGCAGAGGATAATCAACGGCGCCCTATCTGCTGCATCGGGCAGGGTGGATAGGGGTTTGGATGCTACTGCTCAGGCCTTCCCTTTTTCTTATACCCCTTCTTGCGCTTCTTCATCCTTATCGTCCCGCTCCAACTTGACTTATATCCCCCCATTTTCAATCCCCCAATTCTTGGCCCTCCCCCAGCTTTCTTCAGTAGTCGCTTGTCTTCTACTTTCAAATCGCACACAATCCCAGGGCCTCGCTCCAATCCAGTTGACAAGTCCATGTTCAACCAAGTGGACAACGTCAGTTCATCCGTTTCCCTTTGGAGTCCTCGCGTCTCGCTAAGACTGGCATGCTTCAACGTGCGCACTTTGCTGCAGATTGGCCAACAGGCAGCACTTGCCCGCACACTAGAGACCCTATCGATCGATATTTGCTGTTTATCAGAAACCCGTCTGCAAGATTCGAGCTCCGTACTTACCCTGAGATCCCCCACATGCGACACTGGCGGCACATTCTCATTGCGCTTATCTGGCGATGATGCAGCTTCAAATGCCGGTCAAGCTGGCGTCGGCATTGTTTTGAGTCTCGGGCTGAAGCTGCCCTGATTGATTGGATCCCAGTAAACAGTAGGATGTGTGCCGTTAGATTAGCTGGTTCCTTCCGTGCTACGAAGTCGCGCGGGGACAAACGGTGCCTGTTTGTCATTGCGGCTTACGCCCCTACAAACTGTAGCACTGATTCGGTAAAAGATGATTTCTATCAGCAACTTCACGAGCTCCTTCGTTACAGAAGAAGCACGGATACTGTGGTGTTGGCTGGTGATCTAAACGCCCAAGTCGGACAATTGTCCTCTGATGAGCTTCATCTGGGCGGCCAACATGGTGTAGGGTCGCGTAATGATAATGATGAACGATTGCTACATCTGTGTGAAGATGCTCGCCTCTTTCTCGCGAGCACTAACTTCCGACACAGCACCCGCAGAAGCGTGACTTGGCGGCCATCGGCCTCGGGCCAACCATGGACACAAATCGATCATATCGCGATCAGTTACCGCTGGAGGGGCTGTGTCCAGAACTGTCGCTCAATTTGGAGCACGAGCGTGGACTCTGACCACGCACTTGTCTGTGCCGACCTCCGGGTGCGTTTCGGTGGACGTCCGCAACGTCGATGTGAACGGATTGACACCAGCCATTTGGCGAAGCCAGATGTTCTGAATGTGTACCAAAGTGCGCTGACATCTGGGCTTAGTAAGCGCCCACTAAACACCGTTGAAGATCACTGGTTGTATATTCGTCAAACGTTACTGTCCGCCGGCGTGTCTTCATGTGGTAAAGCAAATTGCCAAACCGGACACTGGGTCTCTACACAGTCTATGGAACTTATGGATGCTCGCCGACTTATTCCGGCTGGAAGCGAATACAATGAGGCTCGCAAAACTCTCAGGGCAAAACTACGTGCTAGTATGAAGAAGGACCGCGAAACCTGGTGGTCTCATCGTGCCTCTGCGATGGAAACAGCCGCTGCCGTTGGTAATCATCGTAAGTTGTTCCGTCTGATACGGGAAACAGGCAGCAGGAGACCTGGTGTTAGCGAGACCATACGCGACGAGAGTGGGCAGCCGATCCACAGCTTGTCAAAACGCTTGGAGCGTTGGGCCGAACACTTTGCAAGGCAATTTAACAAACCTGCGTTATCGCTTTCTTCTACGGGCATTGAGCGCCCTTCTCCTTGGGCCGTCTCCTCGGATCCGCCCTCACGCGCAGAAGTCGAACGTGAGATCCGGCTGTTGAAATTGCATAAGTCTTCAGGAGCAGATAGAATTCCCCCAGCCCTCTTCAAATTCGGGGGACCTGCTCTAGCAGATGATCTACACAAGTTGCTAGTAAGACTTTGGGAGCAGGAGACAGTCCCGACAGACTGGAACCGCTCCGTCATTGTCCCAATTTTCAAGGGAGGCTCTCGTTTGGAATGTGACAATCATAGAGGGATCAGTCTGATTTCGATTGCCTCTAAATTGCTTGCCTCTGTCATTCTCCACAGACTGACTGGCACTTGTGAAAGCCAGATTCGGGAAGAACAAGCCGGATTTCGTCGAGGTCGGGGCTGCATCGACCACATCTTCACATTGCGTCAAGTGTTGGAGCACCGCCATGTTTATTGGCGACCCACCGTTGTCGTGTTTCTTGACATAAAAGGTGCCTTCGATTCGGTCGATCGATGTGCCCTTTGGGACTGTCTGCTGAGGAAAGGTTTGCCTGATAAATATGTAAACATTATCAAAGCGCTGTACGCGCATAGTTCGGGCAGGGTGAGGGTTTATGGCAAACTGTCGCCACCCTTCAGTATCACCAGCGGCGTGAGACAAGGATGCCCGCTGTCACCTTTCCTCTTCAACTTCGCTATTGATGAAGTCATAGAAACAGCGTTCGCTGGACACGACCTAGATGGTGTGGAGCTACCTGTATTATTACTATTATTATTACTGCTACCTGTTAAATGTGCTGGATAAGACTGTGTATTGATCAAAATGTTTAATTCTAACGCAAAGGAATGAATAAATTACGCGGCCACTGAATGTTGCGAATTTTGTATAAAGGCAAATCACTTTCGCAAACAAAGCTTAGCTGGGTCATAAATCAAAGGAACGTACAACGAAAGTTGTGAAAGCATTCCAGTGTTTGTTGATTGCGCTTACCTATTGTCTACCCCGACAGCGAAGTTTGAATCGTTTAACTCAGTGAACATTCACATGTACTCAGTGACTTTGAGGAGATAGAGAGTGGGCGGGACTTGATTGTAGAGACTAGGATATCTTACAAACACTTCTCTGCAGCCTACTCGCAAACTAAAAGGGCCGCTTCTACACGAAGCCCAACTCGATGGGTCGTTAGTTTTTTCGTCGGTACCCCCTCGTGGCTTCCCTTTGAATGTAATGATTGCGTTTGCATGTTTGGACTTTCTTCTGCGACACACTCCGCTGCCTAGTACGCATGGGTTGGAATACTTTAGTGCCGGTTAAACTGGTTGAACGTAGGCTTCTTCTCTGTTTCTTGGAAGTGCTCCTGTTCTACGTGCTAGTTTTGCATTTGTTTTTACTAAGATTTCTTCGGTTCCATTTCTGTCTATCCTTCGCAATTATACCTTGACCGACGCGGTTTTCTCTTATTTAGGACGTGGATCTTTTATATCTGGCCAAGGTAACTCAAGGGTTTTCTGGCGCCGATCTTACAGAAATTTGCCAGCGGGCCTGTAAACAAGCTATCCGAGAAGCTATAGAGGCTGAGATTCGCGCCGAGCGTGAGCGACAATCTCGTCCAAATGCGATGGTAAGTCGTAACTTTTCCTTATTCGATCCCTGTTGCATTCACCACTACAAGCTTCAAGGGCTCTTGCTTATTTGTTGGAAACCGATTGGGCCCCTGTCTACCTTAGCCGTTTTTACGATTGGTTCACACAAGTCATTAGCGACCTGTGACTAACGGATCACCCTTAGCAATGGGCCCCGTAACTCATCGATCTTTGCTATTGTTATCTCACTGCAAATCCTGAGTAACGTTGGGACGTAGAGTTGAATTTAATCGTTTACATTTTTGGACTCCAACCACTGAATTCTGTCACATCATTAATGCCAATTTCATGGGCTTTCGTGGAGTTGGTGGGGGTTATAAAAACTAGAATTAACCTCGAACACTACAATCATTCGGGACTTCACTGGTTTGATTGCTACGATCAGTCTTAACCTCGTTGTTGACTTCTAACTTCGATCCGATTGCTAATGTGTATCGTCGCGCTATCTGCTTTTATCGAATCCCCTCTCTGAGGGGTGCAACATTGGCTGCTCACCAGTAGTCCATTTTCTTGATACGCATTCTTTTTACCTACAGGATGACGAAAGCGACCCCGTACCTGAAATCACGCGACGTCATTTTGAAGAGGCCATGCGGTACGCCAGGCGCTCTGTAACAGAAAATGATGTCAGGAAATACGAGATGTTCGCTCAAACGCTCCAGCAGTCTAGGGGCATTGGTGGTGGCAACTTCAGGTACATCTCTACTCACAGAGCTACTCTTGGAGATTTGTGCTGTGTTTGCGACGAATTGATTTGGCTCATCTGTTTTTAAACTAGTATCGTCTTTCGTAGCCATATGTGGACCATTGTGTTCCGATACAGCACTCACCAATAGCTTATTTCGTTGCTGGTTAGAAGCCTATCTGTATGACATCTGTGCTGTGTGTATAGTCTGTCGATAAGTTCATGTTTTTGAAATCTGACTCACATCATACCGACTCCTTGTTGGGTCTACTTTTGGCCACACAAATTCACTGTCTTTTTCTTGTCATTTATCTACTTGTCCATTTCTGCCGTAACCTGTTTGTCTACTAGCACATCACTTGTTTTCATCTTAACATAACTGAAAATCCACCATGTGACGCTTTGTGTACTTATCAGATTTTTAAACCGTTTAAACCCTCATCACCTCGACTATTGGTTCAGGCACGACAACAATTGCAGCGTTTACTATCGTTGTTTTTCTTTGATTTAATGCACAATTGTGTTCCTCGAACAATTGCAATTCGTGCATCACTCTTCTCCATTCGGACCATACTCTCACTTGAAGGACCTAAGTTCAGTTCATTTGAACAACTGTGATCCGAGGTGCGGTGGACCCAGTTGCCATGACTCACATCGCAAGAATAACTATAACTAACAGGCAAGCTAATGGGGTCGAGTGCAAATAGACTGTACAGCAAATGGAAGCAAAAATGAAGTGGATTACATCGATCAGAACAGAACAAAAATCAACAACCAGATGCAAGAGAAGGAATACAGAAACGGCACTGACTACCTACCTGACTGCGCCGTGTCTGGGAGGGTCTCCAACCATTAGTGTAGATCATCCCGATACCTCTTCTATCCACGAAGACGGCACGAACTAGCCTGACTACGTCTCTTAATCAATTCCTTCATGCCTCTGTGCCATGCCATAGACTGGTCACTTCGCGGCTTCTCCCAACTTGGTGCAGCCGCAGCGCATAATGCACGCCGAGAAACCATGTCAATGGGCATGCGAAAGACATAGCCTAGCCAATATAATCAACTAAGATTCAATAATTTCGAGTGACGAGTCCAAAGGCTTCATACCAGAAATCAACTGGCAGACCTCACCATTACTCACCCGGTGTTCCCACCAAACGTGAGCAATACTCCTCGCGAAAACACGGTTGCAGAGAGATCTCTTTTCAGCAAATCGCATCAGACAAATACGTGTGCAAAGTTGTCGGAGAAAATTGCGAGCTAATGGAGGCTGAAGTGAAAGAGACAGAACTGACTAGCATTGTTCAAAACGAAGTCAAATCGATCCAGATCAGGTGATGGGTCTGGCAACTCGCCAACTTCTACAAGAAACGTGGCTCATCCGATATGTGAAAACACTGTCGTCCTCAGTGTCCCCTGCGGAAGGATCCTCGTTGCGGTCAAGCTAAAGCGGGAGCTTGGAACAGCATGTGCTTACGAAGTTCTGGTTGCGTTAACTTAATCACAGGCGCTTCGGCTATCTTTAGGAAACGCTTTGTATGCCCCTTTGGGTATTGCTTTGGCACTGTGTAGAAAAGGCGGAAAGCATCGTTGGTCGGAAGTTTGTGTTCGCTTTGAAGCGAATGCTCAAGGATTGAATTCCTGATACTTCCGACACTGCATGAATGGCCGAATTATATCCGGCTGTCGGCGTCTGCTAGACATGTTTATCATTTAACGCACGGCAGCAACTTTTCTGATTTTTCATTGTTCACACCGCTTTGTCGCACCGCTTAACTGGTGTTCTACACTTGCTTCTCGCTTTTCCATGTTTTGTGTCGTGTGCATAAATTGTGTTGGTTCGGGCACGTGCCACGCATGTTCGCCCATTGCTTGCCGAGAGGACACTGTTTGTGTAGGAATAAACGTTCTGCTGACCATAATTGTCAGATTCACACCAAAGCACCCGCATCATCTTCACTGCTGTTTCCTGATTGCAAAATTAGATAGTCGTAGTCACCTCAGCACGGCATTACTATGGCTGTTTCACTCGACTACACTAAGGCATTTTCCACTGGGGTTTTTAAGAACACTCTTTAGAACCTTTAGGAAAGTAATCTTCATTATTTGAGAATCATTTTGACCAACCAAGGTTTGTCTTACTTAATTGATAAGTGTTATTACGATAAACGCCGGCCGAGCATGCATCAATAACCTGAAGCGCGAAAGTCTAAAACATTCAACTCCATCGCTGCAGTAGAAGCAACATTGCCCTACCTTGCAGCTGGTTCGTTGCAGTCAGCCATCAGCCAGGCATTCTTTCGAAAAGCCTCTAAGTGCTGTCTTGCGTACCTGCTGCTTAAGAAGCCAACTTTATATTCCGCAATGTTCGTGCTTAGCATAGCAATAGAGACTGAACCGCGCGATATTGCAGTTTTCCATCAATAATTATTGGTTTGCCACCGTCATTGATGACTTAGTGCCTTAAGTTGCTGGCGTAAAGTGGTCATGGGGTCGGTTCCTTTTGGCGCCTTCAATACGCGCTACTGACGGGTTTTAATAGGACGAAATGGATGTCTCTTACTTTCCCCTATAGGGCAAGCTGTTTTACCGAGAACTGACTGCAACCAACTATCTATAAATTGCATGGAAATCCTCCACTCATAACTACCGTAATTCCATGGTCAGTGTAAATGTATTTACTTACTACATCGTCCCTGGACTGCAACACCTTAGCTCAGAGTGGAGTAATATGTCGACCAGAGAATACCAATTTTGAAACTTTGGATAAACACACTTTACGCTGCATCAGTATCGCGCGTCGCCTACATCGGCGTGATTATTTGTCTTTCTTAGGCACTTGTTCATTTCTAGCACGCTCTTATGTTTGAACCATCCAATTGTGACTACAAGCTTAGAGTAGATTTACGCTCTATACTCGTTACCTTGGTTTCAAGTTCTACACGGCATGCGTAACACGAAACATCTCATTCATCGGTGTTTTGTCAGGATTCCGTGCTTCATGTTCATCTTAATTATCCTTTTGGGTTCTATTCTCAGCTCAATGTTCATCTTTGCCCATAGCCCTCGCGTTGCTTGTTCTCATTGCAACTGCCTCCTATCACACACAGTCGATAGTCACGACCCCTATACTTTTGTACAAACTGCTTTTGATGGTTTACTAGTTCTCGAGGCAGTGGATTTTTGAGTCGGGTAGATTTTCGCATCGATTAACATTGACTTCAACATTACGACAGTATCAACGTTTCGTTGCCACACAACCCGTGCGGGCTATGGATACTGCAGGTTGGTCTGCGCTTACGTATGCTGCAATTTGCAACATATGCATTACGCACATCTACCGGTGACTGAGCTTCCATTGACACTACTGACGATCTCCTGTTTTTTGTTACTTCCAGATACCGCTACTTATTTGTTCTTTGGCCTGAAGTAACAGCGGTCCGTTGCATCGCTCAACTGAGCTGTGTGTATTAAGCTTCCCCGCTGTTGGAGTTTCCGCCCAACTTCTCACCACCCGCAGACAAACGCCTTTGATGTTTTCCAGATGAATTCATCCCTCACATTAGGCCCATTCAAATGTCTCCTTTTCCCTCGACTCTTCCAGTACGAATAGTGAATCTTTGTCCTCATGTATTTCTCTTGCTCGTGGGAGTTTATCGCAACCACAGCACCCGAGTCGTTTTTCTGTCTCCATTAGTTGCCCACTGCAGACAGGTCGAACGTCCGGTCTTTTGTGTTTGCTCATGCCTGCAGTAGTAGTAGTCCCGTCAGTGGGGGTCCAATATTACGTGAACCCCCATTTCTTTTTTGTACTTTAACTCTTCTTTCTCTACTGCTGTTCTTTTGGCTAGGTTCCCCTCTGATGCTGCTGGTGGATCAGCACCTGGTCGTGGACTCGGTCCCGGCTTTGGCAACACAGACGCCGAAGATTTGTACAATTAAATTTGACAAGTTGTTCCTCTTCCGCCGTCGGTTTTATAGCCTCAGGACGCCATCGATTTCTCTATCCACTTTTGTGATTTCATTCTCTGTGGTCTCTCGCCGAGAAGCGCTTTTGTTGGACTTCTCATTTTCATTCATTCATTTATTGTTCATTGTTTTCATCCGCTACCCACTTGGTTTGAACCGGTTAAACACTAATCGACTGCACATTTGCGATTTTTTCCTGTTTCCATTTCGGTTGTAGTTATGATTATCGTCTATACTCAGTTAGGCTATTTAGCCTCTAGTAATTCATTTATTTTGGGGCAGTTGATGGATCCATTTTTGCTGTGCCGTGGAATTTGTGGTGAGATTAGCTGTCATCTTCCTTTACAAGGTATCGACGTGTTTTAAGCTCTAGCTTGGCTGGTATACAACACGAGTTCCACCTGTTGCTTCTGGTGGTGTGTTAGGTTAAATGGAGACTACTGGGAGAGCATTTGCAAGGAAAGCACCAGCGGTAGCATCTTTTCGCTTATCGACCCAGCTGTATGCAGGAGATAGGGCGATCCTTTTCTCTTATTGCGCAGTGCCGATTCAGCATAAAATTATTTGTAATTCTGTGGTTTGTGGTCAGGCTGATGCGGCTGTGTGGACAGACGTAATTCAGCAGCGTGTTTTTGCCTTAATCAGTGGGAACGGTGACCGTCTACCCTCACTGGGTACAAGTGTTATTGCTACTAGAATGTACCCACGAATTGATCACGCTCATCTGCTTGCCTACATCATCCTACGTTAGCGTGAAGTTCACGTGTACTTCGTGGATGTGGTCCTGATTACGACTTGATGCGGATCAAAGCCTACATATGTTTTCGCAAATTTGTGCTTTGCTCATCTGTCCTGATTTGGCGGGGACCTAATGTTCGCTCTCTATTTAATGCTGGGAATAGTAAATTGGAGAATGCGATGGCGACTTTATTGATTCGGTTAACGCCCCGTAGCACCACCTGAAGGAACCGGTGACCTGCGACCAAGAAAACGATCGGGCCCACAAATTTTAAGTGCCCCAGTTGTTTCGATGAACACAGTGCAACCATTGGTACCAGAAAACGCTACAGCTTTTGCTTCACATGTGGAGCATCTCAAGAATTATGAAGAGAAACGTTTCGCGAGTTATATCAGTGATTGACTCAGGAGCTCCGCCGTGTCAAGAATACATCATGGACGGAGCACATGGAATACTGCGTCGCAATACAAAGGAGTGCTACTATTCCTTCGAGGCAGTTCATGGACCCACCTTACAGCCGTTAGCAGACACTATTTCGGGTGTTGCTTTCACGCAGACTGCTGACATTGCGCAGTTATGACGCAATCAGTCTTCTGGATAACTGTTCAGAAATGCACTTGGATACCTTACACGGGCTGCAACCACAAACTATGAAGAACGGTCTTGTCAACACTGCATCATTGTATGAGACGCAGAGAGTACTTTCTCAGCTGCGAAAGGTCAAGTGCGCCGATGCTGATGAGACACCACTGCCACTTGTGCTACAGTACTTGGAACGGATGCTAGCTGAGCTGAAGCATGCTCTTGTGCCACCATATCCAATGGCACTAGATGCAAGCAATGTCACAAGAATTACCCTAGCATCAACTTGCTAAATTGCGTCGAGAATGTAATTACTCGGATTCTACTCAACCGGCTCGTCACTCAGGCCCTCGAACCAAACCTGTCCGAGGGGCAAATCTGCTTTCGTTTGGTTCGCGGTACGATAAATATGGTGTTCACTTTCGTGAGAGAAACCAGCCATTGTAGTCACGAAGGCACTTGACACGGTGGACCACAAGGCACTGAAGTTAGTGCTGGGTAAGTTTGGTTGCCCAAGTAAGCCACCTCGTCTTATTGTACGCCTGCGCAATGATCTGCGGGCGAGAGTTCAAACAACTTTGATGTTGTCTCTGGTGTAAAGCGATGCTCTGCCTCAGTTTGTTCTCTGTTTACCATGTACCTAGCTTCCATGCTCGTGAGTGCCGTGTCCGTCTCGAGCACCGAGTTTATGACGAGTAACTAAGCATCCATCGTTTCGGAGTGAGAACCCGAGTGCATGAGACAATCATCTCTACGTTGTTGTTTGCCGACGACTGCGTGTTGTTTGCACTTAACAAGGATGGGTTTCGAAGTATGACATCGGCTTGCTTCCACGGCTGCCATTTTCGGACACACTGTCAACACCAGCAAGTCTGTCTTTTTAGTCATCACAAGGAGTGAAATCCCTGGGTTCCTCGCTAATCAAACTTGCTGGCGAAGGTTTGGAGAACTCATCGAAATTCTACTATTTCGAGAGCATGATGTCAACGGATCTGCAAATGACCAGTGAGCTGCACTGGATTAAGGCTGTGGGTGGTGCAGCACAAGCCACGCTTGGTCCCTCGATAGGCGCAGGCGCCCTGTAGCTGTTCACGGTGATATTGACTGATAACTCCGGGAACGGATACCGCCAACCATAAATATGCGTGCGTATGTGCATTCAGGACCGGACAAAAATAGTCATCAGCAAAGCCCCAAACACGTGGGAAACATTGTAAGGGATAAAGGTGCCTAGATTAAAAGCTACCATCTGAGAAGCACGGACATTGTGTGCGTCGGCGACCCCGGTTTCATCAAGACATTGTTAGTTCATCCAAAAGGTTGAACAACTGTAGCGGACACAGACGCTTGATCCGAATGGAAGCGTGTATTAAAAATTGATTTGTGGTTCATTATGCAATTTTACCGGTGATAACTGGCATCAGTGCGGTGAGGCCGCATCCACGACTTTTCAGGCGACATATTGGTACCGGAAATGGACACAAGAGGAATGAGCCCTGATCGGCCGTGACAACAATCGCCGCTATCTGTCCTGCGTATGCTCTAGCCATGCTGAACCCCCGAGTTCGCGTTCGTAAGCTTTGAGTCCACCGATCTGCTTGTTTAAATCCCGTACATGCACCGAGACATTCGTGCGGCGCTTTTGACATAGGTCAGAGACTTGACAGTCGAACTCCTCTTTAACCGGGTCTGGGCTGTATAGTAGCATCTGCCGCTACAACAGACACGCTGCACTTAGTGGCCTCGTGGCTAAACGATGACACTACTTTTTCTAGCCGAATTGCGCAGGAACTACTTGTAACTGGGATTCAGTCAATTACTTTTGCTTCTGTGCACAGAGTTGACGCAATCTCTACATTGCTGGTCCGCATCTTCGGATAAGCGTGCTGCCAGTGTGTCGCGGGAGCACTCATAAAGTGATACCAGTCGTATGGGTGTGTTGTTAACGGACCTTAACGAGCAAGAGGACAATACGCGTCGTTGAGTGCAGGGATGGGAGTGGGCCAGATTAAAACTCTCCACTTCGGCGATAGTGAGCGTGCTGGAAGGGGCTGACTTCAAAGTCAACCAAAGCCACGATTGAGGTTGCTTGTCATAGTCATAGACACACAGTTATTGCTCCAAAATCCTAATATCAAAAGCCATATGCTCTCCTATCTGCCTGAACTGTCAGCTTGAAATAAGGCTAAAAATGCCTTCCTTGCGCTACTGTGACACACGATTGATTTTGAACTGCTCGTCAACATCATTAGTGTGTCCTTGAAGCCTCAGAATCGGAGGGAGTTTACCGAGATAGGTATAGTAAATGCAGATCAATGCAAGTAACGGGTGGTGCGACGGGGTATTGTTTTGTCTGATCAGCTGTTAGGATAGGAATTCACAGATTCAGCATGTTGTGTGGGTATGAAACTACCCTGTTTCACAGGTGTAGAAGAAGAGTTGACTTAGGTGATATCCCCCTCAAGGTAACAGCAACTAAAATATGTCGTTAGCTGTAAAGAGATGGTTATGTTACTGACTGACACGATTTTCTAGTAATATTGGTCCATTCGGTTACCTCAGTATTGCAGAACGGAACTCGCCAATGAATTCGAGATTCCCTAACGTTATGCGGCTAACACATTAGTATTTGATTTCCAATTCACCTAGAACTAGGTGGCTATCGTGGCTGTTCACTTGCCCTGCGTTGTGTACTCATCTCCGGTTGCGGAAAACTGGTCAGCGGTTCTATAGCAGGTGAAATTAACTTCGGCAGTGCCGTACCGTAGAAAACCGGCTAATTAACCCAAAACCCCTTCTCTGAAATGCCGCCACTGATTGTCCGCGACTGCTTATTCATTCCGCCTTCCAAGCAGACGGAAGATTTTCACATTTGCTTCTACATGGAATGCCTTCACTGATCCGCGACCAGGAAGTTCGTCTGATAGTGAACGATACACATGTGATTACACCAACTCGGAGTTGATGATGTGTGTTTGGTCTCTGAAACATGCAAGGGCAGCATCAATCGATTCATCTGCATCTTCCATATCTGAGTTCCATTTGTCGGACTTACACACTTGGTATCGCTGTTGATGCGGAATTCACTTTCCACTGCCTGGGCATCGTTTCCAATGCATGTGCGGAGGCTGCTCCTCTTTCGTAATGAATTCCACTGAACAGTCGCATATTTATTCTTCGACATTGTGACCCTATCCGAGTGCGGCCGAGGGCCAGAGTATTCATCGTGCGCTCTTACCATTGCCGTAGCCCAGCGTCAAACAAATTCCATGGCCAATTCTTCCTTATTCAAATTACCAAAGCTATGTACATTGTAGCCGTTGCAGGTGTCATGGAGGCTCAACTCGGTCTCTTATCAGTTTAGTCCAATCTGCCGACTTCATTTCATTCATCAGCGAATCATGTTCCTGTGGCTCGCGTCGCAAACAATGGTAATATTAGCGGTAATAATTGTTCAGCAAGATTGAATAAGAATGAAAATTTTGGAGCAAGTACGAAAGCGCTACGGTTCTAGCCACTGTGTCACATCCGGTGCGATATCCCGGTATTGGTGTTGCACGCTCTTACTCTTTTCATACTCTCGCCACATCATTAGATAACCACCGGAGTTTCACTGCCTGCTCCTGACCTAGAATCACAGGCAAGAAAGACTTCAGCATTGCGCTGATACGCATTACCGACGCTTCGCTACCACCAGTCGCACGCGTGTTGCGGATGGTGTGAAGGTCACCCGGTCCATCCGCAGGCCCAAACCTGCACCCTCGGATTAAAAGGCAGGCTTGCAATCCTCAAGGTTACGGGTCGACACTCTAATCCGAGGGCGTGGGTTCAAGCCTGCGTTGTGAACTAGGAGGCCCTCACAGTATACTTAGACTACGCGCGACTATTGTTGGTTTCTCGGTACTGCGTACCGGCATACTGTTGCTACCTCTTTCTATCTTGTAGTTTCACTCAACCAACTGGGGTATCGATCCAAAGCAACGGAACGCGATTCGAATCCGACGCCCTGCACGACTGCATAGAACTTGGTG